AGATGAATTATGTAACTTTTTGGTGGAGGGTCCAACACCTGCTTGTCTCCATAGGGGTGTCATTGCTTTCCACAATATGGCATTAAAACTTACTGTATCTATCTTAAATGTATTCAAGTATGTGTATTTTATCACTAAATTACATTGAAATTGAGCCTCTTCACAGATCTGACCTTTAATTTGGACTGGTGGTGTTCCCTGCTTGTCCCCATGAAGATGCTAAATGCCATAAAGTGAAGCACTCCAGGCATTGAAATAATATGTCTATGGTAGCAGACCCACCACCAGAAAAGTTAGTGCACCTTTAATGTCAAATAATAATCTTCAATTTCACTCTGTTTTAGTACATTAGATGATCAAATCTTTAAGACAATACCACCTACAGCGCCAATATTGACAGACACCTCTGCTTCTGAGTGCTTCGATCACCCAGTCTTTGGTTTATTGTTCGTCATATTGGCTTGCACGTTGAGCATATCGCACTAAATACAATTGAATAATTGTTTTGTACATTCATTGATTAGGTCTACTTTGTTTCCTGGCTGTCCTTGGAGAAACTATTTAAAAGGTTTTGACCCTTGAAACAATCAAAGCCTGCACAGCTTCATTCTCATCATTGTCCTAGCTTTAATAACAGTGGAGGCGCCATAATCCCCTCCACTCAGTTTCCCCCAACTCTCTGGAGGGAATTACTGGCAAATAAAAAGGCATTGGCAGAGCTGTGCAGAACGCCCATAGAGATGCAGTTACTAACCATCCTCTTCTGTGTTCTGCAAAGATGATCGCTCCAAGCAGCACTTCAGATTCACTCTCCTGAACAATATGAAATTTCAATTAGCCTATCACTCCTGCACAACTCTAACCAGACATGCGCCATCCATCACAGGGCCAGGTGTAAACAGGGACAAAATATGGCAGCACAAATGAGGCGCTCAATACAAGAGACACGAAGGTTTCAGAGCTCTTTTGAATTTGTTTGATTCTGATGGAGGGGGAGGGGATTACAGCTGGCCTGAATTCTACTTGTGCTGCAGAAAAATGCTGTTTTATACAAAAAAATTTAACTTTTTTTTTTTTTTACTAAGGCAAAGAAAAATACTTGACAATATTAGCCCTCTCACTTCACAGCACAAGGTTCTGTGTTCGACTTCAGGACTGTTCAGGCCTTTCTGTGTGTATAAAATTCTCACTGCTCCTGACAGCTGCCCCAGTGGCATTGAATGATGGGTGAAATGCAGGTTATCCAGGAAATAAAACCTTGAACCCTGATACTTAGATACAAGTCATATTATTCATTTGCTTCTTTTTTTTTTTTTTTTTTTTGGAGCAATAGAGCAAGAAAATATTTATGCAACTTTTGTCTCTCACTCTCATTCAAGCACAAATTTGTTTGTTTTTTTAATCACATCTCAACAGAGCAACCAACTGTGCAATCTCTGAATTCTGGAGACCAAGAAGTTCCTCATCATGGCCTCGCTGACAGAAGAACAATCCAATAAGTTCAGGGGTGGCTGTCGAGAAGGTGTCAGCCCCTTCTCCTCGGGCTCCTAATCACATCTGAATCAAGCTATCCATTCTGATTACACAACAGAACACCAATTAAAAGCTGCCATGTTGTTATTCCTCTCTCATTAACCAGCGCGCATACACACACGCCCCTGAAACCGCAACAGGGCCATCACTTGCACTCCCCAACTTCTATGAAACCCAATGCAATCCTTATGGGACCGGAGGAGAACTTATTTATTTATAGCGCCTCTGCCAAGATCACTGCTTCTTTTATTATTAATGATAATGAAATCTACCAAGGCATGTAACACAAGGAAATCTTAAGGCCCGTGTCACAGATTGGAATATTAGTGATGGGAGAGATGTAAGTGAATGCATAGTGGGGTTGTCAGGAGCAGCCAGTGTGGGGGAAGCTGGAGGGATATGAAAGAAAGTATTTGAAACGTGGTGACAGTAACAGTAGCAGAGATATAGGATGAGATGAATTTTATACTGACAAATTTTATGCTTACAATATACTTCTAAAACCACATCTGTCATTTCATTGGCAGCAAATGGTAAAAAATAGTAAGCGGTTTTGTGATGTCGTTTATTTATACGACATAGACAAAAATGTAGTTTAGTAGATTATACCTTGAACGTTTTCTTTTAAGATTACTCGTAAATCTTTTCAAAATGAGCTATCATTTAAGCAAAAGTTGTCTCTATTAAAATGTCTACTGTTTATTGAACACATTTGTCATGTTTTTACCTTGAGAAAAAGAGACTGTGGCGGACATTTAGACTTCAAAACATAGCACATTAAAATTGGAAAAGAACTGGGACTAAATTTTGAACCAAACCCGGACAAAAACAAGATCAAATCAGTCTCAACAGGGTTTAGCTGGGCTCAAAACAGTACAGAACCTTCAAGCAGAACTATTAAATCAACTTTTAAACATGTTATAGTTGTTTCCCCTCACCATTTACTCACCCAAAGTTGTATATGGAGTGATTTGTGCATGTTTGAGCATTCTTTAATCACTTATTTTCAAGAAACAATTTTGCCAATCAATCTCCCGCAACCAGCATATATAAACTGCTTTATACTTACATTGTTCTCCAATTTTATTTTCGTAATCTGTGATATGCATAGGATTTGGCAGCATCGTGTAGTCATAACTATAGCAGACACAAGCACAAAAGATCTTCCTTAAACATATGCCAACTCTGATGTGCTCAATATTTGGCCTATAAGGACTGATCGATTGACTCCTTGCTGACATTTAGGGGTGCTCACAACTCTAAATCTTAATGAACCATACTGAATAAATGAGAGATTTCATTGGTAGACTGCCTGTGTCTTTAAGTTTTCCTAGTAAAGCTTTATACAAGGGTGTACCCCATTAACAAGACTATAATTACTGATAGTAGTGCTGCTGCGTGCTACCCAACCAAGAATACAAAATAAAAGGTTTTAATTCTTTCCCTTTTTTTTTTTGGCCTGGAAATTTACACTGGCATATTCTGGCTAGCCCATCAACCTAGCCTATACAGTTACTATATCACTATAAAGCACATATTAGCTTCTCTTGTTAGATGCCTTAACCCTTTTTGCTGATGTGCAGAATCAGTCCCATTAGCTCAAAGCTGCTCAAAGCTAAACAACTGAAAAGCGCTGATCGATTGTGCCATGGTTTGTGCTTTCAAGGAACTCTGAGCGGCCACTGAAAGGGTGTGCAGGTGAGGACAGAAACTTGGCCTGTCCATGCGCATAATAATTAAAACAGAGCGCGTCGGATTAATGAACGGAGAGGCACTGAGGACCGCAGCCAAATGCCCAGCCTCAAGAAGCACGATGGAGAAACCATGCCATTTGGGTGCGCTCCAATCACATCAAAGTGTCAATTTGGTCAGAGGGCGATTGTGCATTGGGTGTGTGTTTAAACATCTCAACAGTGTAGCAGCAGTAGTAGTAGTAGCGCCAATCAGCGCCATCGGCCCCTCCAACTACCATCATCACTCATACACACGCCACTCACAGTAGGTAATGTGGGTGAAGTGTCTTGCTTAAAGACACAAGGACCGTTTTTGCCACTGGCATCAAACTGTGGCACTGGTAGTCCCACTGGTCTCCTATCCAAGTACTAACAAGGAAATAGGAAATGGCAAGCAACCATCCACTCCATTTTCTTTCATCCCAGTACCTTGGTGTAAAATCCATCCAACATTTCACTGTTAGTGTCTGGACAGGTCTGTTTTAGGACAGGCTACGTGAATCGCCAGATATATTTAATCACTTAAAGTTGGCAGCACAAAGGCCCAGACTGACACACATCTGCTGCAGTCTGTGTAGAGCTCATCGGCGCAGTGGGACATTTAGAGCAGAAGGAATGAGGCCTGAGGAGACGAGTGCACCTAGAGAAAAATGACTTGGCCTGAAAATACTTCACCAAAACACAAGAAATGCTCCCTGACTGCTTGTCCAGACACTACAGGGACTCACACAGCAGCCTAAAGCCATGAGAGGAGAGGTGGCACAAGATTAGAAAACTTTGTTGAATGTTGTATGATTTAAGTGGTGATATTTGTGTATCCTATTGGCATATTCACTTCAGCTCATTGAAAGATCAAAAACTGATTTTTCAAAACCCTTGTGTCCAAATAAAAATGTAAAACAGGTCAGAATTTTGAATAGTCAGCTGGTGAGTTCAGAGACAGTACTAGAAAAACTAGTGGAGGCATACAAATTTACCTAGCCAATATAATTTTTCTGTTAAAAAATATTTTTTAATTAAGTTAAAATGTATAAAAATGTAAAAATAAATAAATAAATAAAAAAGGTTTCAGGATTCCCATTATAAACCAGGTTTCATTCTAGTGCTACAATAAAAAAAAAAAAAAGTGAACACATGCCCTCCTCACGCACATCTGGGGTCTAACCAATGTGCTTTTACTTACTTACAAAACACCTGGAATGAAACAGGACTGCACAGAGTAAGAAACCAGGACAAAATCACATCAAATGTCAGTGTGATGTCAATATTTGACCATCACAGCTTCAATAAAGAGCAAAGTAAGACTTCACAGTAAATCAGGCCAGAGAAGGCACCATAACTTGCCATATGGACACTGTTATTGCTTATATCACAACAACAATAAATCTGCAAATACATGATACAGACCTAGTATCGTCCACCAGTGAAGACCAACATTTACTCTGTGCCATATTTCTCCACTACATTTGACTGCAATGATAGATTCATATAGCAGTTTTAAATCACCTTTCGTCTCTAGCGTGTCAGTCAGGACAGGCCCACAAATCACCCTTCAACCTATACAGTTGCAGCCTATGACCTTGTATTGCTCTACACATAAACCCTTATTATTTCCTATGTACCGTAACAGTGACAAACAACAATTACATTCTCCACATCACCAAGTATATGTCATGTAATAGCCAGGAACAAGCAGTTATATTTTATGTGAATACAAGCAATTTAAGTACATACCTGACTATTCGGGTTGTATCTTCATCAGACCTGGAAGACAGAAAAATAGCAGTTCAGTGGTTTTTATTGTGCACTGATAAGAATGAGGGGGCAGTTAAAGACATGCACACTGACAGATTGTAAAATGCTTGGATGCTACTATCACTTGATTCAGCAAGTCTATTAAAGGAGAGGTCCAGTGTATGCTATCAGGCAGATTGCTCTTTGACTCAACGTGACGATGTACATAAAATAATGCATCTCTCATGTACAGCGTGTATTAAAAGGGATGGGGAGCTGGGATGACTTTATGTTTTGTGGTGTAGTGGACTGACTCAAGCAGCACATAATTAAGCTGTCCAGATCTGAAGTCTTATACAAGTAATGGAAAAGGCTGTATGCAATTTTGTTTAAAGCTGCACTTCACACAACTTTTCTGTCTGTTTCTGTTCAGAAAGTTACATAGTGCACCTTTAGAATCATCCTTTTGCCTAGAGTCTGAATACTTGAGTCTCCATCAAGCAACAAATCACTGTGAAAGAATCATTTCATAGGGTAATCATTTGTCAAAACTAGTAGTAATAATTCAATATTCTAATAAAATTTCAATCACAGTAGTGTCCACTTTTAAAACAAAAAGTCTATCTAATATTATGTACTATCTAAAATTGTCAAACTTCACAGTGCAGGTCCGGTGTTACATAATTCAGGATTTTGGTGTGTCAGAGAGAGGGCAAAAAATATCATGTGACAACCACATGCTGAATGGCAGGTTGGTTCCCATTCACACATCAGCCTGTGCACCTGTCTATCACCTCTTTCAAAATGTTTTTCACTTTATTTATTTATTTGTGGAGGCACAAATTTTAGTCCAGCTTACAGTGGACAGGAGTTCACACACAAAGACAGTCCATTTGAAAAATACTGAAAGTTTTAAGCTCATGTTCTCAAACTGTGGTACTTTTACCATACTAGTTCTATCAGGTGGGACAAGGCTTCTTCTGCAGTTGAAATATTTTACTGTATATGTCTATTTGAGCCACATTTTTGCCTCCTTTTGGACAGTCCTCATTTTGAAATAGCATAACAGTTGTGTAGTTCCATTTGGATTGGTTTTTACACATGGTCTTGATCTAGTTTTTATCTGGTGGTAGCAAAGTATTTTCTTAATTGGTATTTGGTGTAAAAAGGTTGAGAAAAACTGCTGAAGTGTGTTAAGTTCACCTGACTCTAGTCTGGTTGCTTATTAGTTTCTTGTTTTGTATAATTGTTTTCTATTGACCATACTCTGCATTGTGCTTTGGTTCTTTGGCACAATTGTTTTGGGAAAAGGCTTTAAGAAAAAATTAATACAGTTACTTTTGGAAATGTCCAAAAAAAATTAAACAACACTTTCCAGCAGCCAGAAGCCCTACCTTGAAGTTCGGTTTGGTACAATTATGTTTTACATCAGTAAGCATAGTAGAGAGCTTCAGTGGCACACAGATTAATTTGGCAGTGAATTTTCTGAAATTGGAACCATGAATGACCTCACGAAGCTGTCAAAGATATAGAAGCACTGCAGCCACACTCAGCCCTCAGGACCAAAACACGTGTCGCTATGTTATTATACCATAACTTTGTACTTAAGATACCCATTCCCCATTCGAAACTCCACTCCTCATCCATAAAGGTGCTTGGATAGCTGCAAATATAAAATGTGGTTCGTTCTCTGCACGCTAGCACTGAGGGGTAATAAAGAGGCCGAAGCAACGCAAATTTATGAGACCCCTTGTCGCCTCTTTTCACTTCCCACCAGGAGCAAACAATGAAGTATTCATGGAGAAAGACAGGCCTATGAGTGACTGTACCATTAGCCGCTGTAGCTCGCAAAGGTAATTGTAACACTGCAAAGGATTCAGTGGAGTTCGCTTGAGGGAAATCTGAACCGCGCTTCGTGCTCCTTAATTAGTTGTTCTTTCTGTTGGCGCATGGGCCCATAACTACCCAAGAGAGCCCCGTAAAATCCGTTCCCGTTTGTTACATCACCATTTGTTTACTCGGAATACACAGTGCTGTGAAAAGTCTTTAAGAAGATATGCAACAAAGTGAAGCATCAGTGTGCAAGTATCAGATGTCTGGCAAGGCGATGAACCAACCAAGTAAGAATGAAGAATATGGATCCGAACACAATGAAAACCAAGTCAAAGAAAAGTATCAAAATTGTGTGTGTATATATATAGATATATATATATATATATATATATATATATATATATATATATATATATATATATATATATATATATATATATATATATATATATATATATATATATATATATATATATATATATATATATATATATATATATATACATACATACTGTGACAAAGTGGGCCTTTGTCTTATTTTAAACTCACCTTAATTTATGTTAACCATTTTGATTTTGGAAAGACACCTTTTGCTTTGCTTTACCTGGAATTGTTACTCACCTGGGGGAGGTACTTCCTCCTGGGCGGAGTATAAAAGGGAAGCAGGTGTCACTAATTAGGGGGAGACTTCTGTGCAGGTATTTATTTTATTTATTTATTTATTTATTTAAGAAAATAGGGACAAAACACATTAATGAACATATACATGATATGTAAATATGTTATCAGATTATAGCCCAAGGCTAATTTTCCATCTGCTGTCCCTAGGCAGGTTGATGTAATCATAAAACAAAATCACAGTAAAAACAATACATCCCGACAGACAATACAATAATACAAATAGACAGACACAAAGAGCTGGTCAGTCACAAGATCACAGACACAGGTCAAGCAAAGGATGTTGGATTATTTGATCAAAATTGCACGCTGCCTTGTTTAGTTAAGATGCCAGTGTATAGATATTGCACACAGCCCATTGCTAAAATTACTATAAAGTGCTTTTCTACAATGTATTGCACATGCCCTCGAAGGTAAAATTCTTTAGTATATTATTTGGTGTTTTTGCTTTGAGTTACTTATTTTTTGTCTATTTGTGTTTTTGTTGGTTAAACCCAGAAGTCTGTTTTTAAATAAATTTTGTCTGTGTAAGACACCTTTTTTTTTTGTGTCATCTGCCTCCTACTTCGACCACTTTGGCCAGCTTCCCCACACATACATACACACACATACATATATATATTAGGGGTGTCAAATTATCGCGTTAATTGCGATTAATTAATTACAGTCATATTTAGCGCGTTATGTTTTTTTATCGCGTTAATCTCATTTTTAATCTCTAACTTTACTGTTTCTGTATGCGAGTTGCTTTATTCTAAAACTTGTTTTTATGTGTTGTTGGGACAACAACACACACACACACAAAAAAAACACATTTATACATTTTTTTTATTTTGGTAATTCCACTCATTGTCGGAAACCCACACAAAACGCGTGCAGTAAGAGCGATGTAAACGTCATGTTCACGTTTGCGGCGTCAGTCGCACAATGGACGAGGTCGAAGAGCCAGTAGAACAGAGTCAGCAGTGCACAGGTAAAAAACACATTTGTGTCTTGGAAATTATTCTCCCGACGTGAAATATAAAAGAAAATAACAAATATAAAATCGCCTACAACTTAAATGTCACTGGTGAAAACAACCTGCATAGGCTCATGATGTCTGCACTACTGTCCTATAGTGACCTGCCACATGAGGGGACACGCACACACAACACACACAACACAAACACACACACCTTCATCATCGTCATTAACCTGAGAACGCGCGGACCACGTTTCCTTCCGTAGACACTGTGCGGACACCGCTGTCCTCCCGTGAGCCGCGTGTGGACTGTGTTTTCTCGCGTACAAAAACCGCGCTTCCTCCTGTGCGCCTCTAATCCAAAACTAACACCAAGACTAAAACCGGGACTAACCCAGTCCAGGACTAAACCAAGACTAAACCAGGTCTAAACCAGGACTAAACCAGAACTAAAACCAGGTCTAAACCAGGTCTAAACCAGGACTAAACCAGAACTAACACCAGGACTAAAACCAGATTAATCCATTCCAGGACTAAACTAGGACTAAAGTAGGACTAAAGCAGGTCTAAACAAGGACTAAAACCAGTGATCTCATATATAAAGCATTTCTCTATCAATAATATTTTTAATATGGTTAAGGAAAGATCTTTTTATTGTCTTTAAGTAGACAAAGGTTATTATGTTCATATTTCCTCGTCTTTGCTACTTTACAGCAAACAGTTTCTTATTCATGGAGACTTGGGCTCAACAACCAATTTGGAGAGATTTGTTAAACAATAAATGACTTTATAAAGTCACTTTTTTTAATCTATATCAGTCTTTTGATCTGCCACAATAATGTAATAATGAATTTAAATGAAAATACCTCAAAATTGAAGGCTTTTCTCAGCAATTTTTAGGTGAGATTAAAATGAGATTAATTAGATTAATGAATTACAGATCATAATTAATTAATCTCTCAATTTTTTTAATCGCATGACAGCACTATATATATATATATATATATATATATATATACATATAAAAATTTATTTCAGTATTAATTTCATGAACATAAACAATTCATAATGTCATTGCTTTTTAATACAAAAGTCAAATTTTGTACTCTAAAGTCTGAACTCTGCTCTAAACAGCATGCGTACAGTGGATTTAGACCTCTCAATTAAAAAGACCCAAGTTGATCATTGATGATTCAACATGACTTCAGCTCAATCTTAATTAAAATCTGATTAATTGCATTGCCTTTAAAAAAAAGCAACCCAGTTGTTTTTTAAATACCTTTCCTTTTGCAAACATGGTAGAAACTAAATGCCACAACAGAGTCAGCACACTTCAAAATACTGGGTCAATCATATTGATGATTTAGGCTTAAGCATAATTAGTTGTTAATTGATGCTTCTACAACTGAGGTCCTAAAGCAATCACCAAAAGCCTCATAATACTAACGGATAGGGCTGTGCAATTAATCACATTTTAATCAAATCCAGATTTAATCATTTCAAACGGTCAGTTATATGCTTAGGTTTCTTTAATCAAGATCTAGTTGATCATCTGTCA